AGGAGGAGCAGGGCGGCCTCGGTGGGTGGCTGCTCGGTGCCCGAGGGCCCCTTTCCAGGGCATCTGGTGGACGTGAGCAGCACCGGGACCCTGTCCCAGAATTATCAGTATGAAGTTTACGTGGCAGAAAGCGCTGAGAGCCAGTTCAAGTTTCTTAAGCCGATACTTCCCAACTTCCTGGGTGAAGGGACTGGTAGGGACAGTGAGACAAACTCCAACTCCAGGAATCATTTTGGGCTCAGTTAGGAATCTAACAGACAACACGTCATGACAAATCATAGAATTCACTGAATGATCTATAAGTTCTCTCATTCACATAGAGCCATATATTCACACATTAGTAACGGCTGTCCTATTTGTAGCTCTTTCTATCTGCTGGACTATTTTCCATTCCCTCTGATTTTTCTTGTGGTTGTTGTCAGCTATCTTAATTATAGCATGTTCACACAATAGCAGAGCAGAGAAATGGTGTTTCCTAGGGTGCTTGTTATTTAGTCAGATTTTGGAACTCACAGGTGTTTTCTGGTTCCCAATATTTGAACTTGTTCACTGATATGTTATGACTAAAAGAATGGTATTTGAAACTTTCTGATTGTCATCAGCATGACTCCAACTCTATTGTAAATGACAACTTTTAGTTTAGAAAATAATTTTCATTTATGCAAAAAGTTTAGCAATCTTGTAAATTGTTGCATTTCTATTGTGTTGTTTCAAAAATACTACTGTTTCCTCAAATGAATCAATATTTTACCTAGATGATATTTTCTTTCTTGAATTTTTTCTGTCAAAATTGATATTTATAGACCATCAGCTGTTATTCTAAAGAACTTCTGTTACATGAAAGAATAGTAGAAAAAAGGTTGGTTGACTTGTGATTACTTTTAAAAAAATAATAAATAGCTTTGGTATGTAAATAATGATTCTTCTTCTTTTAAAATAATAGCAGTTGGGCTCAGTGGCTCACATGACTAATCCTAGCACTTTGGGAGGCTGATGTGGGTAGATCATCTGAAGACAAGAGTTCAAGACCAGCCTGGCCAACATGGTGAAACCCCATCTCTACTAAAAATACAAAAATTAGCCAGGCATGGTGGTGAGTGCCTGTAATCCCAGGTACTTGGGAGGTTGAGGCAAGAGAATGGCTTGTGCCTGGGGGGTGGAGGTTGCAGAGAGCCGAGGTCATGCCACTGCACTCCAGCCCGTATGAAAAAGAGAGACTCTGTCTCAAAAAAATATATAAATAAATAAAATAAAATAAAATATGGTCATATGATTCAAACATACAGTAAGTACAAAAAAGAAAGCAAATTAACATCATTATTCCACAATCAGAAATAATTTCATTAAGTCAACATTATTCTAAAGTATTTAAATGAATGCATATAAAAATAAAGTAATAGATGAAAATAATTTTATAAAATGGATCTATAATTGATAGTTTGTGATTAAGATGATCAGATTGAATATAATAAAACGAAGTGTGAAACTATAGAACTTGCTTTAGCTTTGATAAGTAGTTCCTATGAAGGTTAAAAAGCAATATTAGATGCATATTAAGACATTAGCATTACTAAACTGTCTGCTTAGAAATGAGCAAATAAACATTTTATATGCTTTCTCTTCTTTCTTAACCTTACTTATATTTTTTGTATTGTATATATATTACCTTATCAATATTTATAACATATACAATGTATTTTGAAAGAATACTTCCCAAACTGTTTAGGCATTTCATATCTTTTTTTAGACAGAGTTTTGCTCTTGTTGCCCAGGCTACAGTACAGTGGCACAATTTTGGCTCACTGCAGCCTCCACCTCCCAAGTTCAAGCAATTCTCCTGCCTCAGCCTCCTAAGTACCTGGGATGACAGGAATGTGCCACCACAACTGGCTAATTCTGTATTTTTAGTAGAGATGGGGTTTCACCATGTTGGTCAGGCTGGTCTCAAACTCCTGATCTCATGTGATCCACCTGCCTTGACCTCCCAAAGTGCTGGGATTATAGGCATGAGCCACCACACCCAGCTGGCATTTCATAGTTTTAAAATTTTAATTTAAAAGTCATATAATGCTACTTTTAAAAAAATTTTATTCAAGTCTGACTGCCCAGGGCAACCAATTTTGATTCTCTTATGTGTGTTTTTCCATATTTACTTCCCCATTTTAAAAATCACATATGTTTATAAAGTGCTTTTTCTCAAATTCCAGTTTTAGATATCCATCTTTTAAGGGGTATACACACACAACTTGCACATTTCATTTACCTAGCAATATCAAAATTCTGTTCAGATAATGTTTATAATTGTCACCATAAAAATGTTAGTTGCACCTAAGTCTTATAAGTGAAAAGCAGGCTGGGCATGGTGGCTCACACCTGTAATCTCAGCACTTTGGGAGGCCGAGGTGGGTAGATCACCTGAGGTCAGGAGTTTAAGACTAGCCTGGCCAACATGGTGAAACCAGTCTCTATTAAAAATACAAAAATTAGCTGGGTGTGTTGGCGGGTGCTTGTAATCCTAGCTACTCAGGAGGCTGAGGCACAAGAATTGTTTGAGCCCCGGAGGCGGAGGTTGCAGAGAGCTGAGGCCATGCCACTGCACTACAGCCTGGGCAACAGAGTGAGACTTGGCCTCGAAAAAAATAAAAATTGAAAAGGAAAAGACTTCTTTATTTTTTCTTTTTACCTTTAAGGTCATAATTGCCTTCTTTTTCAACTTACTTTTCTATGTACATCTTTTAGGGATTATGTCAAGTCTAAAGCTTCTAACTAACTCATAATTCTATCAATTCCATTCTTTTCTCCTGGAGCCATCCTGGAGCTATTCAGAGTCTTGCTCCATTCATTGTACATTGTTTGCTCTCTAAACCTACTGCACAGCTGGCAGTTTGCTTTTTCCACTAACTTGGAAATTTATCTTCCTCTTCCATTTGATTTCCTCTTCTGGATTTTACATCTTGTTCTTGTTTGGTTTTCTCCCTTAAGTTTCAAAAGAATATTTGGTAATAGATCTTTTGATCGCTTGAATATAAAAATTTTAGATGTCAGAAACTCACACGTCTATTTGAAGATTTTGTTGGGTGTGGAATTATAGGTTAGGAATTATTTGCTGCCAGTATTTTGAAGGCATTCCTCTGTTGTCTTCTAATCACCAAAGTTGAGATGGTCATCAACAATCTGATTACCCATTCTTTTCTGAGAACCTTTGTTTTCCTTTTAGATTCTTGATTCTCAACCAATGACAATTTTGCCACCTTTGGTAAATGTCTGGCAATTGCCAAACATTTGGCAATGTCTGGAAATACTTTTGATGAGCACAGCTACCAATAGTGCTGAGGCTGAGAAACTTAGTTCTAGATAAGTTAAGGTTCTCATATGTATCTCCAGTGTTCTAGAATTTCATCATTATGTCAGAATGTAAGAATTTTGGTCATTTATTGCACGAGTTACTCAGTGAGACTTGCCAATCTTGAGACATGTTCTTCAGACTAGAACAGGGTTGTTGAGGTTTTTTATTTAAAAAAATCTTTTGTCTACTAAATGTTTTCCTTTTTTATTCTGCAACTCCTGTTAGTTGTATAGTGACCTAGTTTGATATTTAATTTTTCTTATCCTTGTTCTATCTTCTGTTTTTATTTTCCTGGATTCCAGTAAATTTCCTTTATGACTGAATTTTAAACTTTTGCTATGATAGTTTTACTTTCAAAAAGCTTTTTCTTAGTCTCTGCATATTTCTTTCTATAGTAGCCTTGCAGTTTTAAAATTGTTTGGTGAGATATAATTCACAAACCATAACATTCGCCTTTTTAAAAATTGAGTTCAGTGGTATATTCCAAGGGCTGTACAATTATTACCACTACCTAATTGCAGAACATTTTCACATTTTCATCATCCCAAAAAAGAAACCTGGTACCCATCTGCATTTACTCCCCATTCCTTCCTCTTTCCAGCCTCTGGAAACTACTAATCAACTTTATGTTTCTTTGGATTTGCCTGTTCTGGATATTTCATGTAAATTGAGTCGTACAATATGTAGCCTTTTCTGTCTGCCTTCTTTCACCACAAGGTTTTCAAGGTTCATTCATGTTATAGCATGCATCAGCACTTCATTAATTTCTATGGCTGAATAATATCCCATTGTATGAATGTACCACATTTTGTTTGTTCATCACTTGATGGACATTTTGGTTTGTTTTCACTATTTGGCCATTATGACTAATACTGCTAGGAACATTCATGCATGAGTTTTTGTGTGGACATGTTTTCAGTTCTCTTGGGTGTATACCTAGGATTGGAATTACTGGGTCATATACTGACTCTATGTAACTTTTGGAGGAATTGTCAAACTGTTTTCCAAAGTGACTATACCATTTTACATTCCTCTCAACCATGTGTGAGGATTCCAATTTGTCTACATCCTCATGGGCACTTTATTATTATTGTTATAGCCAGTTTAGAAAGTGTGAAGTAGTATCCTATTATGGTTTGAATTGCATTTCCCAAATGACTAATGGTGTTGTATTTCTTTTCATAGCTTACTGGTCATTTGAATGTTTTCTTTAAAGAAATGTGTGCCCAAATTTTTTTGCCAATTATGTAATCTAATTTTTAAATATTTTAATTGTTGAATTCTATTAGTTCTTTATATATTCTGGATACTAGACTTATCAGACACATGGTTTACAAATATTTTCTGCCATTCTGTGAGTTGTCTTTTCACTTTATTGGTAGTATCCTTTGAAGTAAAAAAAAGAGTTTTTAAAGTTTTGATGAAGCGCAATTATGGTTTTCTTTCTTTTTCTTTTTTGAGATGGAGTGTCACTCTGTCACCCATGCTGGAGCACAGTGGTACAATCTTGGCTCACTGAAACTTCCACCTCCCGGGTTCAAGCGACTCTCCTGCCTCAGTTTCCCAAGTAGCTGGGATTACAGGTGCTTGTCACCACACTCGGTTAAATTTTTTGTATTTTTAGTAGAGATGGGGCTTCACCATGTTGGCCAGGCTGGTCTCAAACTCCTGAATCTCAGGTGATCCGCCGGTCTCGGCTGCCCGAAGTGCTGCAATTACAGGTGTGAGCCACCGTGCCCAGCCTATTTTTTTTTCTTTTTTAAAATCAGGCACTCCCAGTCACTGAGCCGCTGCCAAGGACTCAGCAGCCTCCCCCTTGAGCCCCCTCGCTTCCCGACGTTCCATCCCTCCTGCCCGCCTTCTACTGCCGCCTTCCGCAGGCCGTTTCCACCGAGGAAAAGGAATCAAGGAATCGTATCGTATGTTCGCTATCCAGAACCTCCACTCTTTCGACCCCTTTGCTGATGCAAGTAAGGGTGATGACCTGCTTCCTGCTGGCACTGAGGATTATATCCATATAAGAATTCAACAGAGAAACAGCAGGAAGACCCTTACTACTGTCCAAGGGATCGCTGATGATTACGATAAAAAGAAACTAGTGAAGGCGTTTAAGAAGTTTGCCTGCAATGGTACTGTAATTGAGCATCCAGAATATAGAGAAGTAATTCAGCTACAGGGTGACCAACGCAAGAACATATGCCAGTTCCTCGTAGAGATTGGACTGGCTAAGGAGGATCAGTTGAAAGTTCATGGGTTTTAAGTGCTTGTGGCTCACTGAAGCTTAAGTGAGGATTTCCTTGCAATGAGTAGAATTTCCCTTCTGTCCCTTGTCACAAGTTTAAAAACCTTACAGCTTGTATAATGTAACCATTTGGGGTACGCTTTTAACTTGGACTAGTGTAACTCCTTCATGCAATAAACTGAAAAGAGCCATTTAAAAATAAATAAATAAATAAAATCAGGCACTCAAAGCCTATTAAACATTGTATGTTTGAGTGAGACTAGTTGAGTGGTAGACCTCACCTTAGGGTAATGAAACAGGAAACATTTTATTTGGAGAGAAAACGT